GTCTCCCTGGGGCACCGTGTCAGTCTACAGACGGCCGTCCAGGTCACCCTCGCCTGCATCCAGCGCATCATGCCCGAGCCCATCGACCAGGCCGGTACGCACGCCACCCTTACAGTCACCCTTGATAGGGTCCGCAAGACGTCTTACATGTCTTGCACGTGAACTGGTGGTCAGACCTGCGATCTCGTGAACACGTGCGGAAGCTCAACCAAGATTGTAAGAGAAAGGGCGAGCAGCGACCCCCCTACGGCCTGATGCTTGAGAAAGTGCACAACGGCTCGTCAGCGTCGTCCAGTACTGCGGCCTCGCCTTCGGCCAAGCCCACCGCAGCCAGGGCCAGCAGCAACACAGCCAAACAGAGGAATGCGCGTGTGGGTGGCGCTCGACCCAAATGATCCATCTGCGTGGACCACCCTTCCAAGGCTACCACGTGGATGTTTTTCGACCAATGGGGGTAAATTGTATTCTAAATAAATTGCCAACCGCGAAAATAAGAGGAAACAATCAGTGAGTTCCTCGAATTAGGGAGGAATTTCCTCAAATAACGACAGAGCAACGCCCCGAAATCGGTCGGGACACAAGCTCGGGATTGGCCCCGGTACCCATCGCTCCCCGACCTCTGGTGTTTCGTCACACAAAAAGAAGCCCGGGCACCCAAACTTCCACACTTTATTCTCATCAGCAACGCGGCGAGAAGGCCCAACGAGCGAAGACGACGAAGAAGAAAGAGAGAAGACGAAGCTCCGTCCTTCTCCTCACACACCCGAGCTCTTCGTCAAATCCAGTTTTGGCACTCGTGTGACTCGCAAATGACCCTCCAGGAAACGTCCATCGAAGTTGTCGTCGTTCCTCCGCCCACGGACTCACCCAGTCCAGAACAACCCCACAATCTCGCCTGCGCAGTAGAGGAGCGCGTCCTCGTGCCCACGGCCGCCAAGGTCGCCGAGAACAAGAAGGAGTGCCTTCATATGGAACAGGACCAGGAGGATCAGCCCTCCTTGACCATCGCCTCCAGCACCATCACCACCGCGCCTCGGCCTGCGTCCACCCTCAAGCGCATGGTCACCTCCGTCTCGTTCGACCCGCTCGCCCACCTCCG